AATTAAACAACAAAACCGAAAAGTATTAAATAAAAGTCAAAAGAACAAAGAGGTCATTTTAATACCAAAAAAAAAAATAAATAAAGATAGTAATTACTATTAATATTATCTATAGTAAAAGCAAATTATATATATATAAGTATAGTAATCTAATGAAGTGAATAGGTTGTCAACTCCCAAGTGGTAGTTCTAGAGTTCAAATTCTAGTGTTAGTAAAAATTTGCAATTCTTTTTGTATTACAGTTAACTGTCTTTCATAATTAGTTGAGATTAGATACCTGTAATCTGTATCATATCAGCATGACTAGAAGGTTTAGGCACTCATACAATATTATATAAAGAAACACAAACTAGTACTAGGCAATATAAACCCAAAATAAGTCCTTAGGTTATATAAATCACAAGAACTAGATAGAAAAATAGAAGCCTACTTGGAAGACCTGAATAGAGAAGTAACTCAAATCTTTAACAGTGCTACTATAAAGACTAAACTTATAATACAGAGTTAGAACTTGTAAAACTGAGCAAATGTGCTGATTTTTGAGAAGAAACCAGATGAACCAACCAGGCTACTAAAAGTTCTGAATTCAGAAAAAAAGAATACATATCAACAGATATATAAACCAAAGATGTATAGTTACGACCTACCTTTCTAAGCTATCTGGAATGGCAGCTTAGTAGAACCTGAGTTGAATATCAAAATAATAAGGATATATTGTAAAGTTAGTACCAGAAATAAATAAAATCTATAAGAGCATAGTAGTTTAATGATATATTTTGACTACCAGTATTGGTCTCAGCCATAGTGATATTAGGTTAGCTATAAGAATAGAATATAGAAGATTCTGGAAGGTTTAGTACAAGGTTAAAAGTTCTAAAGAACTGTTTTAAAAACTTAGTGACTATGACATATTTTCATTAGCATCAACCAAAGTTATTGATAGTAAGAAGCAGGTGGATGGATATAGAAACTAAAGTGGTTAAATAGAGAACCTACAAGCAGATTTCAGATATAGTAGCTAGTATAGATCTTTGGACAGACTACTTAAATTAGATAATAACTAAAGTTGTACAAGTAGCTAGTTGTACACTTTTTTCATGATTGCCTTTTGTAGTTGTAATGCAATTATTAGCCAAATATATTATCAATAAAATTCTGGATCACAAGTACTTACCTTAATATTTAAAAAAAAAAAAGCAAAAAATATATATATAATATATAAATTTTTGTTATAAAGTTTAGAAAAATATAAAGATATATTAATAAAAATATAAAAGATAATAATATTATAAATTAAAATTAAAAAACATTAATTTTACAATATATTTCTAATACTTTAGTATATTCTTATTTTGTTTTCAAATTTCTAATTCAGATAGTTTAAAAAAATTGTAATCTGTTCTTAATATATTAAATTTAATTTAATATTCTTTTTCTTTAATATAAAATTTAATAATTTAATTAGTAATATTACTTATATAGAGGTTTTTATCTGTTAATTTTTTTATATTAATATTTATTTTAGATTTATCTTTATAGTTATATTGTTAAAAGTTCATATTCTCTTTTTACTTAAATCTTTTCAAATGAGCTTTTGTTTTTCTAGTTCTATAAATTTATATAACTACAAGAATTTGTATTATCTAATACTAAAGTTCCACAATTTAATTTGATTTAATTTGATTTAATCAAATATTTAAGTTCAAATCAAATTTAAATCTGAAATTTTCAAATCAAATTAAATTCAAATATAATCAAATTTGATTTGATTTGACAAATATTTGTTTTGATTTAAAAATTTACAATTGAATATTCAAAAATATAAATTATTTATTTAAAAATTTTATTAATAAAATCAATTTTTTATTTCTACGAAACTAGAGATATTTTGTTTAAAAGAACACTTTTACTTAAGAGCTTAAAATTAATTAACATAGTAACCATTTTTGTAAATTAAGTTTTTTTCTTTACTAATTAAAATTTTAAATGTTTTTTTTAAATCAAATCAAATTCAAATATTTGAATCAAATATTTGATCAAATTAAATCAAATCAAAAGTATATTTGATTTGACCAAATTCAAATTAACCTAATATTTGATTTGATTTGGATTTGAGAAACCCTACCTAGTACCAATTTGCATTCTTTTATATAAACAAAGTTATACAAATACCCTATAATCTGCCACTTAAAGAAATGACAACTTATTCATTACACTAAATCATTACATTCTTTATTTTAATTATATATAATTAAAAAAAATTTTATTAAATTTAATAATAATTGCTAAATTATTTAAGCTTAAAGTCAAGAAAATTTTTACTTAAAAAATTGTTTCTTTTTTATTAATTCTATTCTATATATCAAAAAGATTATATTACATACATATCCACTGATTTGTTTTATAATAAATCTATAATATTTTTGTAATAATAATTTTTTATATATTGGTCTGTATTAAATAATTTTACAACTAAAATGTTCGCCACTATTTGACACATAAATATCTTGAGATTCTGTGATTAGATTTGAATGGCCTTGGGCTTGTTAAAATCATCTCATTATGGCGAACATTTTGGTTGTAAAATTATTTAAACAGATCAAAATATAAAAATTTATTATTACAAAAATATTATAGATTTATTATAAAAAACCAAATCAGTGGATATGATAGAATACAATAATGCATTATATTACATTATGTTACAAAACCCAAAATTCGCATTAGTATATCTCTAATAAGAACAAGTTACAGAAAAAATAGCTTTTGTTTTCCTTTACAAACTGTACGTACTATCACAATACCACTTTACTGAATAACTATTTTAAAGAATAATAATGCTGGTGAAATTAATTTAATCAAATTTCACTAAACTCAACACCAATTTCGTCAATATTGGTGAAATTATTTTAGTTTAATTTCACCAGCATCTTTGCTAAAGAGTGCGAAAAAAATAATGAAAATTACCAGATATATTTGTCATAAATTAATATTGTCATAAATTAATATTGTCATAATTTTACACTTTTATATTGTGGTTGTTAATTAATTCTAGAGTTTGGACCCGATTTTATTTTATATGCTCCTAGTATATGGAAATAAAACCGGTTCCTCTAAACCATGATTATGATTTATCAGCGCATTGATCTAAAAATTGATTTTCTTTCATTTTTCTCAAAGTAATTGAGACTCTCACTTTTCGAACAATTCTCTCATCTCCAACTATATCAATTTTAGTAGCTTCGATGCCATGTGCCCAATCGTATCGAGCAGGTCCACTCATTGCAAGAACATCCCCGGGCCGAAGAATGACTGAAACCACCTCATTGGGATCCGTAGCTGTAGATGTATCTTTGAAAAATGATCCCATAAAAGTTAGTAAAGATAATACATTATTTTTTTTATTTGAAGTTGTTACCTGAATATCCTAGTTCTTTGTTTACTAGAGAAGCAGGACTGAATTTCATCGCACAAGATGAAAGTAGCGATATGACAACTATTCCATCCTCGAACCTTTAATTTAGAAAATTATTAAAAAAATGGAAGCAATTATTTTTGAAAAAAGATTTGATTTTTATAAAAAAGACCTATCAAGATCAACATGACTATTAATACCATCTCCGGCTTTGTATACATTTATAATAGACTAAGTGAATGTAAATTGGGTTATATTTATTTAATTCTTTAAAAACAAATTTTACACAGTCAGATCTTCATAAATACTCTCCGCGGAACCATAATAAAAAAAGTTGACAATGTGCATTTAGAGAAGGGTGCGTATTTATTAAGAGCAAAATGTATAGAACTTTCATGAGACCAAGTTATACCATGCATTCAGAAAGAGCGTGCATTTATAGAATGTGCATTTATGGAGGTCGGACTGTGAGTAACTGTTTTTATCGACAACATACATACCTGATCAAACAAAGGCTTTCTATTCTTTATCTCATCCGGAAAAATGGAAGGTATATTTTCAATAATATCGACAACTCTCATAATAAAAGATGGAAGTGTACCAAAACACATTGCTTGATTTGATTCCGGTCTCTCAAAATAACCTTCGTTAATAATCGCATCAACGAGCCTATTTTGTTGCTCTTGAGTTAACAAATTCTTATAAAGGAGCAACCCTGGTATCGAGGGAAATACAGTTTTTTGAGGTTCATTATTAGATGAAATTAATGGATCAGATGCCGATTGTGAATCAATCTCATGACTTTCGGCCCCATTTATCATGTTATCTACTTCGAGTTCACTATCTGAAAAACTATCAGGACCAAAAAGCTCTTCATCCATTTTACGAAATTGATGATTCAATGATACTTCTTTTGGTTGTGATTTCCTAATTATTATTTCATATTAGGTTACATCGCACAAACGTCATAAATTTTTCACGTGAAGAGAAGTCCACCATAATATAAAGATTATCGTTATCATTTTTTTTCCTGCACTTACTGTTAGAATGTTTACACTTAATGTTACAAATTTGTTCAAATTATCTGGTCCTAGACTTGATCAATCAAAATTTTCGCGATGTATATCTTCCAATAGATCACTTCGAAATATAATAATAAATGATCCTGCACCAATTATATATGCCAATAAAAAGTCAATATTTATAACAACACCAATGTTTACACTTCACTCCGGTAGAATTCATGATTACTATTTCATTTAAATCATTAACTTTATATTCTGAGATGTTTTTTTTTCTTTGAAACTTTCAGATACGATTATTGGTTCTTTATATACAGCAATTGTAGCAGATGTTCTTAAAAGATATTATGAATTGAAAGGCCTAGAAGTAAAATTAAGTGTAGGGACTTCTGAATATGGAGCATTAAAGGTAATGTCCACTTTAAATTCATATCGCTTACTAAAATCAATATAACAATAACCAGTATCTGCTTAAAGGTTCGAAATATCTTAAAAAAACCGGATTTGGATTTACAAGAGCAATGTAAAAATGTGTCTAATAAGTACAGGGTAATACTTATGATTCCTTAACATCGCGTGCCATTATTATTTTGGTAATGTTTTAAATGTTAATTTATAATTTAGAAATTATTAGATGCTGCAATGATCTCTTACACGGACTTCATTCGTACAACCGACAAAAGGCATGAAAATGCCGTGGAACACGTTTGGGTAAGTTATATTATAACAATATATACAAGTGACTCTCGTTATAGTGAAGTGATCGATTTCCTTCACTATATCAAGAGCCTATTAGTAAATTTTGGGTAAATTCATTATATCGAGAGGGTTTTTGTATAAACATTATAATGAGAGTCACTTGTATATGTTACCTGTCACGGCTGAAGCTGGAAATTAAGGACCTCGATTCAAAATATAAACTCTATAAAAATTCACATATACTTTTTTATTATCAAAACTACCCATAAATCCTAACCTAACTACAAGAAAAATGCCCAAAAAGTGCACCTAAAAATTTTCTGAAAATTTAATATTAAAATACTTGAAATTTCCAACTTCAGCCGTTTCCAGTTTCAGTCGCGACATTAACTTTATTCACATTATAGTTTTACTGATATATTATTCTAGTAGAATCGGTTGATGGAAAATGGTCTTATTTATAAAGATAAAGTTGAAGGCTGGTATTCAAAAAATGATCGAATGTTTTATAGTGAAGCAGATCTCAAAGAAAATATACATCCACACAGCGGAAAAAAATTGAAAGTGAGTTCCTATGTATTGTTTGAATTTGATGATAATTGTATCTCATTTTCCTGTTTTTAGGTTACACTTTATACTAAACGGCCTGTCGAATGGTATGTTGAGGAACGATATAAATTCAGATTATCAAAACTTCTACCAAATCTCATGGAATGGTTGGAAGATTACGAAAAATGTAAATATTTATTTCAAGATAAATTATAATAGTAGTCCTCCTAATTCAGATTGGCATATATTTTTAGTCATTATTGCACCTAATAGTTTGCAAGGACTTAGAAATAAAATCAGACAAGGTTTAATTGAGGATGTGCCAATCTCAAGGCCTCGTGGTCCAACAGATTGGAAACCAAATCTTCCTGGAGAGACAGAACAAATCATTGATCCACTTTTTGATGCTTACATCAATTACTTAACAGTAACTGGATATCCTTGGTCTGAAGGCAATTCTAATAAATTTTGGCCTGTAGACATTCAAATATGCCCCAAGTATATTCTTAGGTAAAATTTTAATTTCTTTCAAGTTCGTTGTGTAGTGAAGTAAATAATTGGCTAATTCGTTTATGGATATTTAAGGAGTCATGTAATATATGGGCCTGCACTTCTAATGGGTATAGATTTATTACCTCCGAAAAAATTATTTGCCCATTCGTTCCGACAATCGCGGAGTGATGCAGATCCTTTTCGAGTAATTAATCATTATGGTGCCGATGTTTTCCGATATGTCTATTTAGCGCATGGTGATTACTCTAACTCAAACGGTAAATATTGTATAATTATTTCAATTCTTTTATTTGCTTATTTCATTCTAATTTAAAAGCATCGAAATTTTTTCGTTCATAAACAGAGTTTTCAGATCAAAATATCAATAGTCGATATGCCACAGATTTAGCGAATCAACTTGGTCAACTAATTCATAAATGTTTGTCTCCTAAATTATTCCCAAATGGACCATGGATTCCAACATCTCCATCAAAAGAAAATGGAATACCTGATACTGACAGAATTATACAGCAAGCATTAGAAAATTTACCAGGTAAACTTTACTCAATTTGTATGATATCTATACTTTTGTCATCTATAAATTTCCGGTAGTAAATCACTTTGGGCTGATTCATTCAGATACTGTGGATAAGCATTACGAAAAATTGGAACTTTCCAAAGCTCTAAAACAAATACTCGCCATTATTACCTTGGTAACCCTGCTTAAATTATTGATATTATTACCATTTACTGTTATCATCATAATATTCTACCTACTAACATATTTCATGTCTAAGGCCAATGAGTATTTCGATAAAGTATCACCAATCGAATTCCTCACAACAAAAGATTACATCTCGATGAATCGCGCGTTATATTATTCATTTGAAACATTACGAATGACTGGGATATTATTGCAGCCAATAATGCCAAAGAGATCCTGGAAATTGTTAAACATACTAGGTGTAAAACACGATGAACATAAATGGGAAGATGCCAAATTTGGAAAGGGTTGGCCGATGCTAGATAATAAAAGACGTAAATGGGCACCTTATTTATATTATAATTTATACCCTTATCTCCCAAATATGGCTGATGATGTTGCTAATGAGGAAAATAGGAAAAAGGTGGTGCACGGCGAGGTATTGTGCTAAAACATAGAAATAATAAAGTGAAGCAAATACGTAAATCGAATAATAATGTTAGAATCCCTATAGAATGTGAAAGGATAATCGGGCTACGTCTCACATATCTATATTTGTCGCCCAAATCTCATACCAGTTATAATCTGGGTTGTCCATGACAAAATCCAAAACTTACATCTTAAAAACCTTATTATTAATAACCCTTAACTAAACAAATGAGATATAATTTTATATAGAACATATTTACAAAATAAGCATTTTTTTTTTGCAAATATCAATTGCTTTTTTAGAGTTTGGGATTTGTCAAGGTTAAACTGTAAAACGTAATGAAGATAAATGATGTCAATTCTTCCTATAACGAACTGATGGTTCTGAAAGAAAAAAAAGTTCACTAGAAAATTACTGTTTTTTTAAGGACCCATTCCATTTTCAATACCGGACTATTATAAAAATTTTTAAATTTTGAGTTCTTTATATCCAGAGTTCGTCATATAGAGGTTCGTTACGTCCAGAGTCGACCGTAACTTAACATTTCATATTTCTAAAATAATCGCTTTATCATACCAACTTGTTTTGTACCACCAATTAGAAAGGTTTATTAGCTTAACCGTATTTGAAATTGGGTTGTAAAGATAAAAATGATTTATATTTTGAATAAGCAGCACAGAGATGCTCTTGATTTTTCTGTACTGTCTTAGAAACTGGAAGCTTGAACTGACTATAATATTAAATTAGAATAATATATATCATTTTGGAAGATCGTATAAATTAATTAATTAAAATAAACCTGTCGGTAACGTGTCCATTTTTTCAACTACTTGATGATTTTGCGATGGAGGTGTTTCCCATGTCTTTATAAGATCTGAAAACTCCTTCACAAGTATGCGTGGGCTATATAAAGAATGATAGTTAAAATCAACGTTTACATAAATAAGTCGAATATAATATGCATCTACTTTATTTTAACGATAGTTTGACAACATTGTCACAAGCGAAAAATATCAACTCCGTTGATTCATGTAATAGCTCCTTTATACTGTCAATATTGGCTAATTTTCTCAGTTTTTGGAAACGTATTCTTGACAAAGAGATCCATTCTAAGCTATCAGCGAAATTGTAACGTCGTTGTAATACATATTTTCATACACTTAAATATATGAAAATACATCTCAATTATCTTATTAATTCCTCAAAAAAAAAAATTTGGTTTTTTTTTGTTTACTTATATTTGTTATAAAATTTACCGTCGATGATCATGTGGTTTCAATAATGGATTATATGAAAAGTATCCTCAATCGTTAACAAGCCTTTTACAGTATCATCAATCCATTGAATACTAGCCACTAGCAAATTTCCAAAATTTCCAGTGTCAAGGTACAAAGATGTACTTGGTGTACTTCCATCACGATGCTTTAGGCAATCACGCCTATCAGATTGTCTTTCTGCATGTTGGCATATGTTTTATGTAATAGTTGTACTATAAAGGTTACAAGTAAATAACATGATGTAAATAAATTTTAGATAAATAAGTGACAAACCTTTCAACCCAAAATAAGGACTTATCAGTAAACTTCTTTATTTCAGTTTCATCTTTAACCTTTTTCGCTAGTAGTATGCAGAGTTCAGCAACTTTATATTGCATAAGACGAATTCATTATATACTAATATAATTATAAAAAAGTCTAGCTTCTGTAAATGGTACCAAGTAGATCGTTTGCCTGTACTAGGGTTATTACAAGTTTTAATTAAAATGTATGCATAACATTGAGAAGATCTTTAATTGCAAGTTCTTACCTCAGTTTTGGAATAGTTTCCGACTTTAAAGTACAAGTTTGCGATTGAAGGCCATGAGTATTGAACGCGATTCGGTGATATGTCAGTACCAAGGGTTTGAGAAACATATTCATCTATTTCGCTGCTTGTATTGAAGGTGATGATGTAAAGCGTTCTATATCAATACCGTTATTTTATTAAAAAAGAAAAGGTGTTTGATTCTGTTGTCGCGATGCAAATCCGATCTATAGGTAGACATCTTCTGATTGGGTAATTTTTGATCCAGTGATCCGTTTTCGCGATGTTTCATAAAAAAATGTAGCTTAAGTTATAATTAAAGCACAGAATCAAAGCACAAAATCAAAATTTAAAATTTCATAATAGCTTGGTATAGAAAGCGCTATGGGTCCTTAAGAAAACATAGTAATTTTCATAACGAACTTCATTTTCTTTCAGAAGTTGATCGAATTTGTTTTTTAAAGAATTACATATAATTGTAAGCAATCATATTTTATTTGTATTTGTTAATTTATTATTTGTTTTTTATTATAATTTTATTAAACAATTTAGTTATACAATAATACAGTAATAATAATAATATAGTAATAATAATTATAATCAAATTAAATTTATAACATCCATACACTTTAATGCAACGTAATTAAAATTCTTTGATAATTTTTCTAAAACAATTTAAAAGTTATTAGTAATAGTGATACATATCAGTCATCAAACGAAATCGCTTGATGTCCAGGTCACACCACGAGGAGGTTTGCATCATGTGACCCAAAGGAGTTTAAAATCGGGGATTTGAAAGAAAAAACCAAATCTCTAAAGAAAGGGATTAAGGAAAGTCGAAATTAATAGTATATTCGATTAGTTTTTTAAATTCATTTATTTTCCCGATCTAAAAGATCTCGAAATGATAAAATACGATATTGATGATGTACCAAGTCATCAATAAAGTTGCGATGTCATCTCGCTAAAATAAATGACCCTCCGGGTATACAAGAAAACCTACTATTGCCCACCCTCCCACACGCAATAGGTGCTACATCAGTCCTGGAAATGCACTACGAGTTTTTCGAGGGTCGTTGGTTTTTTGATCAAAACCAACAAGAACATACCTGATACTATAACAAAAGAATAAAGTAGTAAATATCTAAACTTGAAAAAATCCAAATACAAATGTAAACAGAAATAACGAGATAAATACATTAATCTCCGTAGTATACCGGCGACGTAGGATGGTACGACGAATAAAACAACAGGCGAAAAAGAAAAATATTGATTGAGAAAAAAAAAAAGTGGTATCGGTATATATAATATGATGTATACCCAGCAGGACCGTGGGAAATGCGCAGAAGGTGTTTCATAGACAAATGTACACAATGTTAAAATTTTTTAAAAAATCGGTACACCTGATCTGGGATCTTATTAGCGTCACTTATAAACCATTTTTTAATCAAACATAATTTTTAAGATCACGTTTTAAAACATTAATGTATTATTATAGGACAAATTTGAGTTGATGAGTCCAATTACTATCTCTATGCAAAGGTTTAACAAACGTTGTTAATAAATTATTGAGTAATTGAAAAAATACTTAGGAACTTAATTGTTATTTTAAACATGTATAAATATTATACAGTATAGTTCATCTTGTCAAAGCCGATCCTGTTAAAACTGATGTCTGTTTTTGATATAGTGAAATATAATTAGACTTAAACCTGATAACCTTCTAAAACTGATACAATCTTTATATTTAATTTATTATCTTCATATGAGTGCTGCCAAGGGAAAACCTGAATCCGGAAAGTACAAGTTATTAAAATCATTAGTGATTCATCGTGATGATAGTAATCTGTATTTTGACGCCACTCATATGTTATATCCCCATATGAGTGATGGTCCAGAAACGACCCCTGATGAAATATGATGAAATATGATGGAATATGATGAAATATGATCGAATCTGATTATTCAGTAACATTTATTACATATGCTATATTATTTTTCGGTTAGAATTGTGTATTTTATCACATTTTAATTTATTTTTGCAGTCAGATTCATCAGGGGTTGTTTCTTGATAGTGAATCGATCTAATTATATTTCGTGTACAGTTAGCCGTCTATGGAAAATCTATCATGATGATATATTTTCTACAGATGGCTAACTGTATACGAAATATAATTGAATGTCCGATGACAGGTTTCCCTTGTGCGCACTCATATAGTACCGGTTTACATTCACTTCATTCATACTGATAATTTAGTATCATTACATTGCATATTTCATCTGACTTTAACCGAATTTATATGCCATGAGAATGAATTGTAAAATGAAACCGAATACACATTCAGAAACTACTCCTTTTACTTTATATACAGTAAAAATAATCTGGAAAAGTAATTCAGAAGTTAGTGACGGAGTGCACTTTTTGTCTTATAGGTTAGTAATCAGCAAGGTAAATTGTACCTTGGATATTAGCGTTAGGACTTTACTGTGACGGGTGTCCCTGCAATAATATTCAGATTAGGCAGAAGTTTTACTGTGATTCATACCCCTGTAATAAGACATATACCCCTGTAAGAAGACATACGGTATACTTTACTTGACAAGAAAACACTTCCTTTCGATTTTACAAGAAAATCAAATGACGGAAATTAGTAAAACTACGATACAAAATATGTATTATCATGTACTGTAGAATCATATATATGACAATTAATGTTTACTTTGGAACTTATTTGAGTGAATGAATAAAAATTTCTTATAGAATATACTGTAAAATTAAATATATTTTTTAAGTATATAGGCTCCGAACCTCAACGGTTCCCGTTTCCTAGTTTATTATTGTAAGTTTTTACAATTTATTTATAATTTAAATATTTTGTTTTGCTAATAACTCCGAAAAAAATTTTTCGCTTCGAACTTGTTTTCTATTAGCTAAATCAGAGTGAAAGCAAGCTTGGATCCGGTTATCCGCTGGATACAATTTAAACCACTGGTGTGCGTCACGTGCCAAATACTAAAAAAAATTCATATAGACTAATAAAATAATAACGATAAGCAATAAATTAATCATTTTATTTATTTCGAATACACTCAATAAACATAACTTTTTATTATAGCCCGAAAGTATTATGATTATGGGTTTTCTAAGTACTGTATTTGAAATATTCTATTGCCTTTTAAAAAGACAGGCAATTTAGGATCTTTGAAATTTTATCAAGAAAATCAATGTAACCCAAATCCGATTTCTATTCTTTTTTCGTTTATTATTAGTGGAATTTGGTTACGGCAACCAATGTATATTTTTAAAATAGTGTGTTTATTGGATTTTATGCTTTTAACGATCGCTTTTCATTTTGAGGAATAAGAAAAAATCACTTACTAAATCAGTTTCAGATAACTGTGTTATTGGTTAAATTGTGGCCAACAGTCGTTGATTTCTTCACAGCAAACACCGCGTTATTCACGTCATAAGCACAGTGTCCTAGTGAATAATCAGTTATCATCCACAACATGATCAATAACAAGTATATAGTGTTCTAATGCTACTAGTATTAGAACACTAAAGTACCGCACTTTGTGATTGAATAATTGGAATATTCGGCATTCCAACTGTTGACAGGGTTTTAAATTTTAAATTTTTATGCACGTGAGTTACGCACGTTGTTTACGGTAGAGTTGGATCCGCGAATATTCATGAATAAAATGAATATTCAATTAGTTATACTATGAATATCTGTATGTTCTGTAAATATCCATGTAAAATATCTGTGTTAATATTCTGTGCGAATACCCATGAATATCCATGTAGATATCTGTGAGAAACGTAATCACGTGAGATTATCTGAATATCCGCGAATTCTCTGAATATTCATGCAAAATGTGTAATATTCATTAAATAGCTGTGATGGATATTCAACGGATTTATCTGATAAATAGAAAATGCCGTCCTAATCATGATGAATCGACAATATCACATAATTTTCGAAACTTTTTTGGGTGGCGATTTTGTTTTTGCCGCTTAATCAAGTTAATAAAAATTTTTTATTATCACATAACTAAATTAATCAGTGATGGAATATGACATAAGTCATACCAAAATTTTAATATGACCTTGGTCATATGGTTATATGACTATAGGTCATAAAGTCATAAGGTCATAACGTTACGGAAATTCTACGGACAGAGCTTAGGGACAGAACTGGACAGAACAAACTCACGTGATATTATTAAAATTCCTCT